ATAAGTACTACTGGCTGGAAGTCTGAAAGAAAGAAAATGGAAGTTGTTGACTTTTTCTTCTATGCACTATATCACCACAAATGAAAGTGTTTCTGTATTTTGCAAATCACTGATGAAACTTTAGCGGGTCGATAACCAAGGAGTACAATTTAGTGGAAAGACAAAACAATATAGCTGTGTTTAGAAAGAGTAAGTGAAAGCATTTTGCACTTTGGTTACTTAGCACTTTGAGTTTCTTTACTTGACACATTGTGATTACTGTTGAAAAGAAAATAATTCATGACTCAAAGTACCTTCTTGTGCCTCAGCTTAACTTCCAACCTGCTGTCATGGAGAATGTGAAGTTCTTAGGTAGGGATCAGATCAACACCATTTTATTAGAAATGCCTCAAGTTGGGGTCTGAAGTCATTTGTAATGGGATTTCACATGAAGTGCTGCAAAGAGCTAAGCTGTTTTTATTTTTTTGTTTACTGCACTGTAAATGAAATGTCTTCCTACTTCTGTTTTATAATGGAGTTATGGTTTTTCAATTTGCTTGATGTGTGCATGTATGTGTGTTATATCATTAAATCATCGGTAGGTGGTAATGTGAGTTTCTGGTGTGAGCTTAGCATAGGAACATAGCTCACTTATTTGGGAAAGGCACCAAATATCTCTGCTCTAGTTTCTCTCTCTGAGAAGCGTTAGAAGGGTGAAGCAATTCCTTGAAAACATGACAGTACTTCTCTCTACTTGTATACATAAAGGTACTGTACAGTATTTCCATGTACTTTTCTAAATTATTTCAGATTGTTATTATTTTTTTAATAGAGAGTTGAAGGAGCAATTGAGAATGTGGTCCTTTGCTTCCAAAACTTGAGAATTCAGGACACGGGCAATTTTTTGGTGTTCCTAGCTAGAACTGAGTATCTAATTCATAGATGATGATTAGTGAACTACAGTCATTGCCTATCTACAGATGTACAAAGATGTAAAACTTTGGTGGTTTCACGTGTAGAGGTACTTCAGAACTATAAAGAGGGCTCGGAAGTCTTTAAATAAGACTTCAGCACTGAAGTCTTTGTGAAGTGAATTTGCTGTTTGAAAAGAGTGGGAACTTCACACACCTCAGCTAGTGAAATGTTTATTCTTCAGGTAAGTCAATAGTAGCAGAATTATGCAGCTGGGAGTTCAGTGTGTGTATGTAGTGGGTACCATTTAACTTCACATACTAATGATGGATGCTAACGTGTAAACATGTTTTTAGAGAATGTGCCATATTACTTCCTATTTTTATAACAGTGTCCTTGAATGCATGCATAGAAGCCTGAATATTTAAACCATTATGAGAAAAAGATTGTTTGGGTTATATTGCTGCTACATGGCTTTGCCATAGTTGTGCATACCAGCCAAATGCAGTTAAACACTCCATCAACATGAGTGCCATTGCTTTAGCTGTGCCTCATGTCTCCTCAGCATCAGTTGCTGATTGACTTTGCTCTGTGTATGTTCTGAGCTTATGGTGCTGCCACTGCTGAAGGGAGAGACAAAGATGTTCTGTTGCATTAAGACCAGTATTTTACAAACAAGCTCATGTTTCTAAAGTGTCCTATAATGTGAGGACATGCATTTTATTTTTCCAGGGTAGTGACAATCTAGATAGTGTTATTATCAATGCACTCAGTGGCTGCACTAGGAGAAGAGTTGTATTAGCTAGGAAAGATACGTGTTTGAATTAGTGATGTCTACCATTGTTTTAAGTGTTACAGGTGTATGTGTCACTGAAAAGGTACAGGGCTAATGTTAAAAACTTCATTCACTTCAGTCGTCCTGAGTCACACAAAGGATTGCTTGGTAAGGATTGTTCATGTAAATGAGTATGCAAGATCTAGAACACAGAACATAGGTTTTCTTTTATACTTGTAAAACAACACATTAAAATGTTGAAACACAAACTTAAATTGTGTTGGTGTCCATTCTTAATACAGACTTTTAGAAGTCCAAGTTACAGGTTATACAGTATGCTGTCAGCTGTTAACACACAGAACAGAAGATGTTTTTATGCAAATCTGACAGAATAATAATCTGATTGATTTGGGAGTTCTTCATCCAAAATCACTGGGTGCATCTAATGCTGTTTAGCTGGTAGAGAACTCAGCAGAAGATGTAGTAGTTGGTTTGAGAGAACAGTGTCATGCAGAACAAGATTGGCATAAATTATTTATTGTCACTCCTAATCCCAGACTTGACCAACAGTTTATGTATAAGGCTGTATGTGCACAAATAACCTATAATCTTAGTGAAGCTGACAAAGCTTACAATCTATCTAAAATGTGATCTTAGTGTGGCTAGCAAAGAGTAAAACATTCGTCACTTACTGAGGATCTGTATCAGCAAGGCATCTTGACGTCAAGGTACAAGGGATCTCTGTATAGGGGTAACCTTGAGGCTGCTCGCTATTTAAGGAATAAGATAATTGATTCATAGTCATAAGTTGCTTTTTAGGTGTGTGCTCAATTGGACTTCAGCTGTTGAACCAGGTTTCTGCTATCAGTTCTTTCAGCCCCTCAGTTTGTGACAGATTTGTGGTCATTAATGTGTTTTAGCAAGTAATTATTGGTACTGTTGCTCACTGTCCATCCTGCAAGGTCTTGGGTACAAGGCCAGGTCAATGGAAGGAGTTGAGGGAAGGAAGCAGGAGGGGTGGAGTAGGAGGAGCACACTGGCACAGTGTTTGAAGGAGGGAAATAGGTTTGAACAAATTTGTGAAGACTACGGTTTGCCAAGAGGAGATATGCAAACTGATGCAATGATCCTACTGAAAATTAAGGTTTCAGTGTGAGTTATCTACTTGACTTTCTGTCTGACCTGTTAGTAAGCCAGGAGCTTTCTCTTTTTAGGTGTGTTAAAGCTTGTAATCACACTCAGTGATCCAGGTACCTGCTACCTCTCCCTCTAGGCGTGGAAGAGTAGAAGTTGTTGAAATAAAGAGGTACAGAGGGAAGGAAGATGAAGATGTTATGAAAGTCATGGAAGGTAATAAAAGTGACTTCAATTTATAGGGTGCACTGATTACAGAAAAAACATATTTAAAGTACGTTTCTAACCATTCAAATAAAATACAGGGTTGGTTTTTTTTTTTTATTCTTAAAAAATGTATGGCAACTGAAATGAAACCTTTTTAAAAGAAAAAAGAATTGATTATTTGCATGCCGGTTTGACATTTGCAGGCTTGACTCAGCACAGGCAAATATTTGAGGTTGGTAAACTGTACTAGTTTGGGGAAAAAAACAAAAAAACACCTGTTTTATTTCCCCATATTTCCTACATTTTTTTTCCATAGGAGCTGATGGTATCTGTCTGTCCCAGACTGGTAAAGAATGCATTGTCTCAAATCATCACGAGACAATCGAAACGCTTTGTGGACAGTTTTACATTTGAAAGCATTTCTTTCGAGCTGTTTGCCTTTGCAGGGGAGGGCCCAAGAGTGTTTTCTGGCTGAAGACTTGCCCTGGAAGCTAATGTTTCCAGCCTGATACAAGAGATTGGGAGATGATACCATTGTGTCCTGTGAAGGCAAGATACAAGCTGGCATCTCCTTGAGTCCTCCTCTCCCTGCCGATTTAAATTTGCAAGGCGTGGAAAACTGGAAAAAGAGTTCCTGCAGGGATGCCCCGAAGCCAAAGCTGTCAGTTCAAAAGAGCAGGCTCAACCACTCTGGACTATAAGTAAGAGAACGTACTTTCATCATAGTCATTCAACAGCCTACTGCCATAGCCTCGGACAACCTACCACTGCCAAAGATCAGCACTACCAAGACATCGCTGGATCAAGAAGTGGTGAACCATTTTTGCTTTGCGGTGTTTTTATGTATCTGTATATCTGTCTGTCTCTTTCTCCAGTTTCTATCTTTTATCTTCTTTTCTCCTTCACTCTTAGTAGTATCTCCTATCTCCTTCACTCTTAGTAGTAGCCATTGCATAATATTGTTTTATCTGTAACGTGACTCAGGAGACAGAAAAAGATTGATCTCTCTCAAAACCCACAGGGTGGGATGAGACAGTAGTCTAAAACAGCAAACCATTTTCTGTTACTTCCTGCCTCCTGAAAGTGCTCGTGTACAAAGGAAACAGGATTTTGAGCTTTGTGCAAGGCGAGTGAATGAGTGAATGTTTATAGTCTTGTATTTTAAAATGCAGTTGACGTGATTGCAGTCACTCAAGAGGCATCACTGGAACATGAATATATAGTAGTACTTTGGTAGAGATGATAAGTTCAATGCACTGGAGACAGATGACTTAAGAGGTATTAAGGACTGTGTAATTTTTTCTATATCTTTAAGAACAAGTTTAATGAAACTCTTTTGTCTGAGCTTCGTCTCAGTACTCAAGTCAAAATGCAATCAAAATTCCCATGTAGGTGCTTCAAAATCACAACATGGGAACTTAACGAATCTCCTTCCAATAAGCAACAACTTTACTACAACACCTGTACGTCCTAGAGAAAAGAACAGCTTTATCCTTTTCCAGATTTCTAACAATCCTAGGGAAAATCTCTTGCTCCTGAAAATAAATTTTTCAGTAGTCTTGAGTGTCAGTGTTCAGGTACAACAATTTCACCTTTCAGAATTTTGTAATTCAGATGTGAACGCTTATATGTGCAGTTCTGGGCTCCACACAGGACCACCAGAGATCAAACCCTATGTCTGAGAGCACTGTTCAGGCACCCCCAGAACTCTGGCACTCGGGGCCGAGCCCCGTGCATCCCGTTCCATGCTGAGACCCTGTGGTGCAGCCCCTTTCCCTGACCCCCAGCTGCCCTCCCCTGACGCAGCTCCATGCCGTTCCCTGTCGCTGTCACACAGAGCAGAGCTCAGCGCTGCCCCTCCGCTCCCTGTGAGGAGCTGCAGCCGCCGTCAGGCCTCCCCTCAGCTCCTCTGCTCTGCGCTGAGCGCACCGAGGGGCTTCAGCCGCTCCTCATACATCTTGTCCTCCAGACCTTTCACATCTTTGTAGCCCTCCTTTGGGTGCTTAAGTTTTATGTCCTTCTTTTGTGGCACCCAAAATCATACACAGTGCTCGAGGTGAGGCTGCACCAGCACAGAGTAAGGTGAATCAGCCTGAACTCTAATTCAAGTTTGGCTTCTAATATGAAGGCTAAATATCAAAACAACACCTTAGAGTCAAGGTACCTAGCTGCACTACTTTTTGTTTTATTTATGTGTGGATTTCCTGCTCTTATATATGATATGTGTTGCAGTAGAATTGCTCTGTTTAACATGCATAACAGAAAGCAAGGTGCTTGCAATTGCTTTAGTTTTGCAGTTGATTACCCTCATAACATCATTTAAATTCTCTAGAATATTTTTCTTGCTGTTTCTTTTCTTCCTGTCTGTTGCTTCGTGGCGATCGCTTCAAATAGAAATGGAGAAACAACAAAGTGAAACATCCAGCTGCACTTTTGGTATGGTTGATCTTTATAGCCAAAATTACACAGCTGTGAAAATGACTGAATGCATGGAATGCATCAGTTCTTCATTACTACATTGAAAACATTAATAGCAGTGAACAGTACAGTATTCAGAAGTACAGACATCATTTTAAAAAATAATGCATCCAGGAATTTTTCAAAAAGGAGTGTAGCATTAGCTTTGGTACTACAGGGAAGGTAAGGTAACGCAAAGCCACAATGTAGTTAGGTGCTTATTAAGTATATTTGCTTCATTGCCAATGGATTGTTGTGGGCTTTCTTGCTTTTAACTTTTCTTCTTATTTTTAAAGAAAAATAAATATATGGAAAGAAAAAAGAAGAAGATGAGGAAAAGAAAATGACACTGTGAGTCTACAGAAGTATTTCAGGCAACTCAGAAAAACTCAGGTGAGGAAGAGCCTAGAGTTGTCCACCAGCATTCTCTAAGGTGCACAGTAGAAGCTCAAGTAAGGAGTCTGAGTACCGCCATACAGTGTACCTTGCCTCAGAAACTGAAGTCTCTCTAATCTAGACATAGCATTTTCAAGTCATTTGGTTTTAATTTATGTTTTGTTAGTCTGTTTTAGTACCAGCACAGTCTTTAATCACACAGTGTTGCAGTACATATATTAGTTTTGATTTTGCAACTCGTCATGAAATAAACATTTCTGTGCTAATGGTCAGAATGGATACAAAACTGCTGACATAATGCATGCAGTTTGCATGCACCATTTGGCAGAAAATTATTATTTCAGAACAATCTGTGAACACAACTGAGAAAGAGTTGAAATATCTTCAGGCTATCACTAGTCCCATGAAATCTTGAACAATGGAAATGGGAGAATATCATTAAGCCATCAAATCTTATATTAAGAGCTAATAAGGAAAAGAGTAAGTAATGTTGCAGAAAACATTCCCTGGTCTAACGTACTCATTTTTATATCATTTTTAATAATAATTTTTATGCAGGCTGGTTTAGCAATAGAGTATGTTAGTTTAAGGACCAATATATTAGTTTAACAAAAGGAATCAATGAGTGCTAGTTCTGTCATCTCAAATCCAGGAAGAAAATTCTCTAACTCCAACATGGTGTTAGAAAGCAGCATTCCTTTATTCCTCACAATACATACTAGGCAACTTGACAAATGAAGCATACTCTCTCAGAATTTTACATTTAAACAGTTAAGACAGTTAAGACATACGTATGCAATGCACTGGCATACATATTCATTCTTTTCCAAGAACTCATTAATTTTTTTATTTATATATATATATATGTATATAAATATGTCCCTCTGGGCATGCATAGTATGCAACTATGCATCATAGTTGCATACAGCTACTTACTTTCTCCCCATTTTCCTATAATCAGCTTCATCACAGTGACTTCTGGCTGACCTCTAGCTGTTTTTTCCCAATTTAGAAAATGGCCATTGCTTGTTAAGCCATAATGAGCAATTTTCTATCTTAATGCACTCTAATTCAAAACAATACATGTGAAATCCAAGGAGAAAATCCTTGCACCTGGTGGATGCAAAGATGAAAGTAGTTATTGTGACTCCAGTGTTCCTGTGAAGCAGAATCCTTGAGAAAAACAAGTTCACACTCCGAGCAAAGTTAAAATGGAAAGTTTTAGTACTAGCACTCGTTGATTCCTTTTGGTAAACTAATATGTTGGTCCTTAAACTAATATATTGATCCCTATTGCTAAATCAGCCTGTATCAACCCTTCCTTTTCTTTTGAGGATTATGATGTTTATATTTTAATCCTCACCACCTTTGATCCTTCACATTTAGGTATACATCCCCTACATTTAATCACAGAACAAGCAAGGATACATATAGGTACTATACACATTGTCCCTACAAATAACTTCTTTAACCTATTTAATCCGGGAAGTGAGGAAGTCATTTTGGGTAAAAGGTCTGTTAAGCTCTAGCTTACATCATCCTGGATTACTTTATGCAGTATTTTAGTTTGGTGCCATATTTTATGTATGTCTCTTTCTATTCTACCTCTCTGATCCACATAAACACAGCAACTAATATTTACTACTGCACAAACCCCTCCTTGTGCAACCAATAACATATCTGAAGCCATTCTATTTTGTAGTACTATCCTGACTAAACTTTGAACTTCTTCCTTAAGGGCAATAATAGCATCCAGTGTTTCATTTTCAAGGTGCTTCGTAACTGCTGAGATGTTTACTATAGCTTTTTCTAGTTCTGCAATTCCTAGAAGGGAATTAGTCACCTAATGAATGAGTGAAAACTACCAGGCCTTTCTACTAATGGATTGGGCTCTTCCCTTTTACCCTTTGAGAGTATTCCATGTTAATTGATCTGTTACTGCAACCTTTGGCATTACTATTCCTAGGGTACAGGTTCTGGTCCACCATGATGGTAACAGTCTCCACATAACCAGTACCATCCTTTGCCTTTAACTAACACCCAGTATTTATCCCTGTTTCTTTAAAAATACTCATCTGTCATCTGTAATATCCACTTTCAGTGCAGATATTTTCCACTGGAGCACTCCCTGCTTGACTAGTCCATTTGTCTGTCAAACAAATGGCATTATTCATAGGTTGGGTTACTACAATCTATGTCTGCAATTCTACATACTTATCTGCAAAGTATTCTAAGGTTTTGGTAATAAATATTGTATGCCAACTTTGTTTTGGAAGTGGTATTTCCCACAGCTGGTACAGACGTGTCTCATATTTTGTCATTTCCATGCATGTCTAACAGGAAATAGAATTCCAGGCAACAGAACAGCCACCTTTTCCATCAACTTCATATGTTTATTTTGATCCTATGCATCTAATTGATAAGCATAAGTAACTACTGCTAAGATTACCATTATCAATTTAAACAAATGGAGTATATCCCTTAAGTACTGCTAAAAAGCTTAGCAAACAATTAATATGAATAACGTAAGGCAAACAATCACTGTTACACTTAAGATAATTATCTTTGACAACTGGAAGTTCATAATACAATTTTCTGATTCCCATCTGTAAGCTGTGTTCATTTCTGTGAAAGTTTCAGTTTCATTGGTGCAGTCTGTTCCACTTGCCACTGTGGGATGGACGCTTTCTTCGCTCTTTGTCAGTAATATTTGGTATAGTCCTTTCCATTTCTCCTCTAGTGGTTTGAAGCTTCAGGTCCATTAATAGACCCACTGCCCAGGTTGAAATGGATGCATTCTGACTTCCAGAGGTGTTGGTGTCGCCTGAGCCATGAACCTGTGGATAGAAGGTAGGATTTTCCCTAAAGATATGACATTCTCATAGATTTAGTTTACCCAGTTGATTTATATCACTATTACCCACCAATATTTGAAATTGTCTTCCATAGATAATTTCATAAGGGCTTATTTTCTCTTTAGAATACCATTTCCTAACATGAAGTAAGATGAGAGGTAGGGCCTCAGGCCATTTCAAGTCTGCTTCTTGACAGATTTTACTGATTTGCATTTCAAGGTTTGATTCCTCCTTTCCACCTTTACACTGGACTGTGACCTATATAGAGTATGTAAATCCCATTCTATTCCAATGTTTTTTGCTAGATTTTTGACAATTTCAGCTACAAAATGCAAACCTTTATTTGACAATATACCTATTGGTACCTCAAATCTAGGTATAATTTCTTTTAGCAACACTTTTACTATTTTACTTGCTTTGTTGGTGTGTTAGTGATAAACCTCTGATCATCCTCAAAAAGTATCAATCAATAACAACAAATACCTGTAGCCAGCTTGCTATGGGAGTTTGGAAAAGACTACCTGCCAGTAGTGTCCTGGGCTGTCTCCCCTTCTCATGATTCCACAGGGTGGTCTTTTTTATTTTTCAAGTATAATTCACATTTCCTCACCATTCTTTTCACCATTACTCCCATTCACATGCTTAAAATTTGAGTTTTTAAGTTACCCATGATGGCTTCTGTTCCCCACTGTGTGATTTGACGGTTATTTTCTACTGTTTTCCTCATTACTAGCTGGGGAACCATTACATGGTATTTGGAATTACCCACAATCCTTCTTCATTTTTCTTAGCTTTTATCAAGGAAGCCAATTTCTCATCTTCAGTCTGGTATTTTGGAGGTTCATCGATCCGTTCTTGATGTTTCTGGGATACTAATTGGAAGAAAACTTCTGCATTCTTGGCTGCTGTATCTGTGTGGCTGTTACCAATACTAATATTGTTGTTTGATTGGTGGGCTTTGCAATGCATTGTAGCTACTTCTTTGGTAATTACCCCTCTTCTAACAATTCTGTTACTGTTTCTCCATATTTTACAGGTGTTCCTTGGGAGTTTAGTAGCCCTGTTGTTTCCAGATAGCACCATGTACAAGCACAACCCCAAGTGCAAATTTTGAGTCTGTCCACATACTGTCTCTTTTTCCCTTTTGCTAAATCCAAAGCTTCTAGCAAGGTTACGAATTCTGCTTTCTGTGCTTAGCTGGAATGTGCCAGAATTATGGCATTCTTAATGCTATCTTGCATGAAACTCCTACCATCCACAGACATTTCCACATCTGGATTCCAAGGGGACAGTCTTTCAAATCAGTTCTGCTACAATATACTTGTTCAATAGTGTGAAGACAGTCGTGTTTGATTTCCCTTCCTTCTATTGTGTTTAAAAACAGGGCTGGATTCAGTATATTGGTTACTTTTAATTCCATATCCTCTTGCTCCACCAGGTAGTTCATGATCCAGTTTTGCTCCTGGCTTCAGCTGGTTATGGGTTTGGATTTGACCATCCACGTGTTCCTGTTGCCCAGATCCATGGTATCTCTGCAATTTCCACTCCTTCCGGTACTGTCTGGTCAGGAGGGGATGATTTCTGTAACGTCACCATTACAGTGATGTATGGCTACAGCCATGTTATTCTGTTTTCAGAAGCAACATAAATATGACTTAGCAGCCTATAGGCTTCATGCTCAGCCTTAGCACAGGGATGAGCCATATTTTAGTACTCTAGCTAATAGATTATTTTAAAGTGAAGCTTTATGCAAAAGCTTGCTCCTCGGTGCCACAGTTCATTGTGTTGTTATCTTTCTTAGACTTGTGCATTTAACATGAAATCATTTCTCAGTGTTTCTCCTATTGCTGTTAACAAAAACTCAAAGTCCTCAGTACAAACAAGGCTGAGCCAGGAGCCATGTCAGTCAGATGTCATGCTGCAGGCAGGGATCTAAAACTGACATGGGTTGCCCTGTCACCCTCATGCTGAGAAACAAGAGAGAAAAATCAGCAAAAAAACCCCCACCTTTTACAGCACTCATTTGTATTTTACAATATGAATGCAGCAGTGTAAAGTAGGATAGACCCGTGCAATTAGGATGTTGGCAAGGGGTTACTGGAGTACTTCTTCTTCCTCTGCTGTAGCACAGCCATTAGGGCACCCAGCCAGCCAATGGAAAAAGCTGTATCAGGACATGGTTCTGTGAAGCAGTGTCTTTTGTGTGCATGTGCGTGCTCCTAGGCTGCCTCTGCTCAGGGAATGCATTTGGCTGTCATGTGGCTAGCAGGCCACCACTGGACTAGAGCTTCTGTTCACAACTCACTTTTAAGCTGGGGACACTGTGTGTGCACCATTTCCACGAAGCTCCCAAGTCACTGCTGTGTGTCTCAGCTCTGCTTCACATCCCTGCCCATCTCTCTCCTTCAGCACAGAAGTGGAGGTAACTGAACTCCCCAGAGCTGAAGCTTTTTTGCCTGCTTTTTCCCCTCCGAAAAGGGGTAGTGTCTACAACAAAGAGGCTTTGTAGCAGAAGCAGGTGAAGTGACTCTGAATACAAACATAGCTCCAGCACCGCATGTTTTCAGTATGGTTTGTCCACACAGTAAGCTAAGCAGACAGGCTCATTTTGAAAAACTGGGTTTCGAAGTCGAAGATGAGAGAGGTGTGACAGATGTCTACAAGAGGGAAATTCTGTCAGAAGGCACCCTTTCTTTACACCAGAAGACCTGTGATGAGACAAGGCTGCCAGATGTTCAGATCCATCAAGGAGCTCACAGCAGCAAAGGAAAGCAGAGCTGGGACCCGTAGGGAGACAGCAGGGAAGTGGCACTTTCAGTCATGTGAGAAAAGAATCTGCCCCTGGAGCTTGCAGGCTGTGGTGCACTGATATTTTTACCTGTTACACACCACTGACTTTGGTTCTTGTTTCTGATCTGATATCTACTAAAATATTTCCCCTTGAAAATGTAGATCTCCAAGTGGTAAATTAACATTTAATACAAAATGCTGACAGTGGGCTCATTTTCTTACTCAGCTTTTACAGAATATGTATATATATGTATAATATAATGGAATCAGCAGCAGCCTCCCCGCTGTCCTGAAGAATGGCGCAGGCAGCTCAATGAGTGAAAACCTGCCCCAGCAGAGACGTCACTGCTGGCCGCCGGGTGGCGGTGCCGCGCCGCCGTTGCCCGCTGCCTGAAGGCCGCCACGGGCCTCCACGTGCTCGGTGCGCCGGTGCTGGGATGAACGCAAGATAAGAGCGCAGGAAAAAAGCGCCTGGCGGGTCGTGAAAGCTGGGCTTCTGTTCAGTGGCTAGGCTGGGCTATATTTCTTGCAGACCCGCGCAAAGCTGGGTTATTTTGGTCCCAGGCTTTATGCATAGGGGGTTATGCTAACCTCACTTTCTGCTTATGCCAGCCTTAACCTGAAAAGTACTGCCAGCTTAAAGTGATCATGGTTTTAAACTAAAGTAAGGGAGATTTGGATTAGGTATTAGGAAGAAATTCCTCACTGTGTGGGAGGTGAGGCACTGGCACGGCTGCTCAGAGAAGCTGTGGTGCCCCATTGCTGGACGTGCTTGAGGCCAAGTTGAATGGGCCCTGAGCCCTGGCCTCAGCATGGGATAATTTATCTTGTAAACAAAACAGGGAAGGGAGGGGTTTCATACTATCTTATTCCCATGAGTGAAGGGGTCAGTGCAGTGACAGCCTGAGACTGGACGTGAAAGCAGGTCTGGTGTGTAGTGTAGCAGAGAAAGCTCCATAGATGATGCTTTTTGAGAACGGATATAAAGTTAAGGATGAGGCTTTCCCCTCCATGTAAGAAGTCTTAGAAGATTCTAGTCTGCTTTTTCCTCTTTCGTGTAAAATCGAGGGAAGGTCAAGAGACACACAATGCAAAGAATTCAAAATAAATATCTCAACCAACAAAATAGAAGAGGCTAGTCAATGTCTCTCACTGGCTATATGGGAGAGAGCTCAGCAGCCTTGTCTGAGCATATTGGCAGCAATGCAGGAACTGGGTCTCTTTCATTTTTCTTTTCTTTACCTCTCTCTTTTGGAATCTGTGCATGCAGAATTTTACATGGTCCTTTTAGTAGGCAGGTGTGAAACACTCAGTCCTATGTTATTTAAATTTGTACAGAAATATACAGAGCTTTATTTCACAGATTAACAGAGGAACTAGAATAACTGGCATAAAATTACTGTGAGGAAGTGAAGAGTCTTGAGATCTGAGTACTTTTTCAGGGCTGTCACACAGAAAATGGTTCACTGAACCATTCACTACAAAGAAGAAAAACAGCGTGCAGTAATCAGCTGGCACGACAGACATTTTAGAAACAGAGTAAGAAAAAAGTGTTTCAGTTTTTCATACTTCAGTTTAACACACTCCTACATAATTGTTAATACACAGCTGCCAACATTCCCTTTTCTTGTATATGATGCTGTTTGTTTGTTTGTTTTTTAACTAGACCAAAGCATGAAACATATACATCTCTGGGATATTACACCAGTGATATTTCACATTTTCAGAAGGTTCAAACAGCAGATTTAAATTGAGGGTGATGTGTAGGTGGTTTTGATACCAACTCTAGCCACACTTGTTACATACAGAAACCATGCTATATGTTGTCCTGTCCATTTTCCAATTAATAGCAGACCTCCCAAATACCAGGGAGCTACAGCATCCACCAGCTCTGGAACTATTCAAAACCTCTAAGCCTTGAGCTCAGGTTGTGAGATAAGCTATGGGTATTTGATAACTGCTTGGCTGAGAGCAACTAAATTATATTCTGCTTCATGGCCGCTAGTCAGACAGTTGAGAGAGTGTCAAACTTTGACAGTTGTGACTGATCTAAACCCTGCCCCTTTGGAGTTTATGGCCTGCCAAAAGCCTCCTAAGGCAGAGAGTCCATGTTTTGGTGGCTCTTGTATCTGAGGAGCTGCCAGGCAAGCCAGGGCTGTTGAAGCTCAGAGCATCCTGGCTTCGCACACTTGCTTGGAAGAAAAAACAGGAAGAGTACTGCTATTCCTGGGTGGAAGGAGCTGGCTAGTCTTCACAGCTAGAATGGACATCCACGAATCAGAACAGACACTTTGCCTTCCCTGACCACTTTTCATTTTATGCTCTTTATTGTGGATTTGGGAATCATGATACCACAGAGGCAAAACATTCAGAAATCATTAAACTCCCTCAAAGGTGTTGCTTTTTAAAGAAAGAATACTTTTGGAATAAATGTCTGATGGGCTTGTAAGCTACAGAATATACACAGACCATTTTCCATATTCTTTTCTACAATCACAGAAGCAAAGTCATTACCTTTTTTTTTTTTCTTTTTTTTTTTCTTTGTAGTGTCAGAATTCCCAGAGCTGGAACTGTGTGAGAGTACAAAAAAATGAAAAAAAAACCCAGACAGTCGAGTGACATAGAGTGACATAGAGTGACAGTCGAGTGTCCTCCCTACTAACCCAAGTGGAGAGGAAATGTTACAGTTTGCATGTGCGTCCCAAAAAAGAAGAGCTTTTGATTATATTTGGAGGCTTTTGTGAACCTTGAGTGATCAAAAGATAAATCATTCTAGTGACTATTTGTCAAGAGGGATCTGCAGGAATGGCATCTCTGACCTGGGATGATAAAGAAGATAAGGCTGGGATGAGATAATTCTTCTGTGAATTGTGTATTACAGTTCAGCATTGAAAGTTATTCAAAGTGACAATACATTTTTCAGCAGAAAGCCTCACCAGTTACGGTATTTATTTTATCCAAACTCTGTATCTTGAGGAAGAGATAGTTTATGTCAATCATTTATAGATGTGTGAGTTATTAAAAGTTGGTAGAAACGTGTTTGAAATTGAACTAGGGAGATGATATGAAATTGAACTATGGGTTAATTTATTTCCTAAATGAATGAGAAAGGAAACAGATTGCTGTGAGCTTCTGCTCTCACTTCCTTATGAGAGAAGTCATAGACACTGTCCCAGAAAGAACGGGGCTGTCGTGCACTCTTGTCTCGGGCAAACATGGGTAACTGGGTGGAGAATGAAGGACTGTCCATCTTTGTCGTTGTAAGTACCATTTTTTATTGTTATCTGTGTCCAGTAAAAAGTTCTGCAGAGTGTTTTAATAAGCAGATCTCTTTGTGTCAGCGAATAATGTGTTTGATTATGCTGAAGCTAGGGCAGCAAGTGCAGTGACGCACTTCAAGAACTTGATTTTGAAGGAGCTCTCCCTGGTACGTGCGTTGCTGTAGGTTTCATTGTGAACTGAGAAATGGTTGTATGTTAGCTGTTTTCTTGGATACTTTTTCTTACTTTACTTGGATTCTTTTTCAGGATTTAAGTGCCTGCTATTTTTAGATGCAACGATGAATTAAGGAAAAGAAATAACACTGCATCTCATTGTTAACTATTGAACTTCAAAATAGAAAGCAGTCACAACAACAAGGTTTTCTTGCATTTTTGTAAACAGAAGTAGATGCAACTGAGAGCAGGTTGGATGTGTCTTGAGGATAGAAAATTAGCATTAGAGTCAGATTCCAGAATTTAGAGCAGAAAGTGATGAATTTTTCATTAGGGCAACTAGCATTTGAATCCATTTTGAATAGGTTACATGGAGTAGCTGTGAAAGTATATTAAACTATTCCAAGCAAGATTTAAAAGTACTAAAAATCTCACTCTTGTTTCATCTAGATAAACAGTAAGACAAGGCAGTCCTTATGGGAGAAAATTCAGGCAGAAGCTAGTGTTTCAAAGTTCTCTTTTTTTCACATCAGTGCAATGTCATACTCAAGATAAGTATATACGTATGTTTATATTATAATATATAATACATGTAATAACAAAGTAACACCATTGAAGGGATTTCTGCAAAGTGGGGTTAGTATGTGTAAGTACTGTTCACCGAAATCCTTAGCAAAGCATTCTTCATTGCCCACTACAGTATTACTATACAGGGCTGTCCCATGCCTGATAGAAACAGACAGGATTTATATTGGTTTGCCCCAACAAAGCAGACACCTAATGCCACCTGATGGAAATCCCTTCACTTTCCCAGACTAATTCCATACAGGTAAGATGTTGGCTTCAAATGCCAAACCAATCCTAGGTTTTTACAGTGTCAGGTTGGGCCAAAGGACCAGCGAAAATATGGGGCTGAGCTACTGTCAAGTCAGTTTCTGGTATCCTTAACTTACAGCCATAGGCTGAGCTTTCTCCCAGTTCTTGGAGGTTTTTTTTGTCTGTTTGTACATCCTGGTTAATCTGTTTAGAATAGAGGTGCATTGATACAGATTGTACCACATAACACAGTATGTGAAATCAGCCAACAGCTGATTTGATGGGCAAATGGCCAAATTTCTGCAGCCAGATGGGCTACCTTCTGCAGTTTTGAGGAGGGCTAATAAATTCCCTTTTCCTGAAGAAATTTGCACTGTAGGATACACACTGTGAGAGTACTGCAGTGTAGCTATGAAAAAGCCCGATTTTGGATAGTCTAAACTCTACCTAAATGCCTGCATTGAATATTTCTTGCTGACTGATTTCAGACATTTAGAGCCTCCTACACAATAGAAAACGTTATGGTCAGGCCTCGGGTGTAATTAAGGCAATCTATATTTAGATCTCAAGCTTCTTACTGCTGTTGAACAGCAATTAAGTGTTCCTCATACAAAGGTTAATACATCTAAGGAAGCACCATTTTGAAGAGGTCCTAACTTTTAATGATGTTTGGAGATTTAACTAACCTCACAGACTTAATTAGACGCATGTAATATCACAGTTCTTATATAATCATGTCTAAATTCTTAGAACCATGCAAAATTTTCAGCTGCCGATATCTGTATTTGTGTTTATTGCCATTTCCATACACCTCAAATTTCTACCAGAAAAAAATAATATATATATACATTCTCCCTGCTGAACCCTCATACTCAGCACATCTGTCTCTACAAATAGAAACACAAAGATCTCATTGGCCGTTTTCTGTGCTGTGTAAATTTTCGTGAATGATCAACAAAGTTTAAAGTTTCCTCTTCATTTTTCTTTCAGCTTGTGTGGTTGGGGTTAAACATCTTCCTCTTTTGGTGGTTCTATCTTGCATATGATCTCCCACAAAATTTCTTCTACAGCAGAGTACTCCTTGGCGTAAGTACAAAGCATACATTATCTTCACAGAGTGCACACACACAATTTTTCCTAGTTTTATTTGATTGAAACAGGATTAGTTTGCTGGAGCAACAGGTTCAAGAAGGAGTTAAAAGTCAAATAAACGGATTACTGAATGCACATAGTTGTCCAGAGCTTCTGAATAGAAAGCTGATAGCAAAATGGACACATCTCATTCTAAAGATGTTTCCAGGTAACAATTGTGCTCAGGGTAATTAAAGTGAATATGCATGGTGGCTACTTTATTAAGGAGAAGACGAATAAAGTATTGCTTCTAGAACTATGATGCAATTATTTCCCCTTCCAGTTGTTTTTTGTAGCACAAACAGTTTATATGGCTATCAAGGGAACATATTCCTAAAAGATGAGGCAGTGAATTTCCCTGGATTCTTTTTACAGAGATGCACACACAAGGGACAGTTTGGAGCTAGAGTGCTAGGCCTTCTGAAGAGACCTTTTGAAACTGAGATGAGCTTTATGAGCATGACAAAGCTTCTTTGACATTGGTGCTAGTTGCAAGAAAGACTAACCTACATTTGTGAAGAATTGTGGATCCAGTCTCATTGCTTTTCTGAACACTAAACCACTTCCCTCTTAAGCTGTCCTTCCGTCTACCCTAATTCAGCCAACTGAAATAGCAGCGGGGAAATTTTCTTCAAATATTGGGAAGGAAAATGCTGCTAGTTTAGACTTGCACCTGCACTTGGCTACCAACTGCCAAATGTGACGGGGAGCTTTTCATACTGCTGTGTTATTTCAAAACTGTAAATAGAAGGTAGCTTATCTGGAAGAATCTTCTCTTTCTGCATTTGTGCCCTTAACTAGGCCAGAGCATGGCTGCTCTGAAGTGCAAACATTGTTAACTAACTCTAAATCTCATGCTCATGAATAGTTGTGTCATAATCACATATAAAATCTGTGCTTATCTGTCTCCTGGATAATGTCTTAGGTAATTAATTTAATAATAGCACCTCTCCAATTTCAGCGTGCTTTGGCTCTGGCAAGAGCTCCTGCAGCGTGTCTGAATTTCAACTGCATGCTGATTCTGCTGCCAGTATGTCGAAACTTGCTCTCCTTCCTCAGAGGATCAAGTGCGGTAAGATGAGAAAAGAATTTCAAAATTTATGGCAAATAATAACCCAAGTAGCTTTGCAAGTGCACCAAGAATCTTTGTCCAAGTTCCCCAAATATACCATAGTTTTGGGATCTCTTCTTTGAAGAAGCAGATAAGCTCAGGGTTTTGCTCTGAGCAAGACAGAGGTCTATATGCCAGTGGTGAGCCTAGAGCTCTATTGAGATATTTAGCCTTGACTTACCCTTCCTCCTTTTTTTTTGTCTCCTGGGCATCATGCTGTCTCAGATGCAAAGGCCCTCTGCTCCATGCCAACCATGGTTGGTGGTGCTTACACATATTTGCCTAGTCTATCAATGATACAGTACCCATTCATAGTGGGATAAATTAGCCTTTATCTCCTTGCTGGCATTTTCAGCTCTTAAAGCAAATACGTGCTTTCACAGACTTTTAGAAAGGGACCTTTTCAGCAAGTTCATAAACTACATTCTTCCTTTTTTGCATTGCATGTCCATCTCAGGATGAGAAGTTCACCACCCTTTTGACTATTTCTAGCTCCCAGCTGCCCAGTATCAAGGAACTAAGAAAAGGACAATCGATTCTAGGTGATATCTGGAGTGGCTTCCTATGGTAGCACTGACTCTGTCACGTTGCTGAAATGCAGATTCCTGTCTATTATAACAGATGCAGGAAAAAAAAGAAATTATCCAGGCATATTAAAAAAAAAAGGCTCCTGTTCCACAGCTCTGATGATTAGGCCTCCAAAGGGAACTGTAAGCTGCAAACCTTGTTAATACAAAATGGATGTGCCTTGTCAGCTGAGGGGACCCTAGCACTTCTTGTGGTTTTTTTCTATTCATCCTGTTGCCTCATTTCTATCTGCATCACAGTCACTCCATTCCTATCAAGGACCAGTATGCTGCCACGCCACACCTCAGTGGAATAATATTCTCCTCGAGCTCATAAACTTTCCTTCCAAATATATGATTACTCCTTTCTTTCTGTCATCCTTGGTATATGCGCAGTCAACAACACTAGTTCACAGAACATGGTTTTCATCTGTAAATCTAACAGAAATTCTTTTCATGCAGACGAGACTGTTTGTTAGGGTGGAAAAAGCAGAGCAAAAGAACAAGCAATCATACAATATGTGCAGTTTCAAGAGTCCTTCATAGCAGAGGAGAATGGGATATAAAGCCACCAGAAAATAATCAGACACAACCTAGGCTGTATATTCATCTAGTACATACACTCTGGCAGTCATTGTGGATGAATATGAGCTGCCTCTGCTCCTAAATTATATTTCCAATGCCATCCAAAGTGCTCTGGCCTTTTTTAGGCATAGCACTAACAAATATAAACTTGGAAATACCCAGACCAGACTTTCTATCTTGTTCTACACCCCTTCAGATTCTGGGTAGTGATAAAAGCAGACATGCTGTCTCCATGTGCGTGAAAGAAAAAGAATAATAAGTAAAAATGTAGGGCTAAAGTTGTTCTTCCTCTGCTTTGAGGAAGATCAAATAGTATATGCCACAATGACAGCTGGCTCCCCAAGCTGCAGAAGTTAATGAACATAAATTTAGTAAGATTTTGTTTTGTCATTAGATGAATACAACTGGAAAACACTGATGAGATCTTGATCATACCAGGTCTTCACGAGGTCTGAACTAGATCTCACAGGCATCAAGCAGAAAGCAGGTTGGGAAGAGGACTTCTGAGCTCAAAGCAATGAAAGAACTGAAGACATTTGCAGAGACATCACAGTAATGCTAAAACATGATTCTAAGGGCTGAGAATTTTATTCCAGCTGGGTCTTAATGCTGCTTGTCCCTAGTTGCAAATCTCCTTTTCAGTTTGCAAGTGAGAATCATGTAGAGAGCTGCATAGTTTTGGTGCCTGCCTGCAACTCACTGTCTGGCTGTATGAGGAAGCTAAAGGCTCTGAGGGTGTACAAGGACATGAGGAAGGGACATAAAATAGGACTGTTAGGCAGTCAGACTTCGTTTAACTGCAATTGCATGTTGCAATAAGGCTGTACCTCAGGAAGAAGGTAATTATCTTAAGTAAAACATGCCAAGTCCAGTGTGCCAGGGGTAGTGCTGGGACTGTTGTAGTCTTGGTGCAGCAGTACAGTTGCTTATGCTTGTTCTGCTGTTCAGTCTAATTAATTATGCTCTGTGAGGATTTCTTAAGAAAATCAGGATTTTAAAATGTCGTGTAACATATTGAAAGGGTAGTGGCCTTTCCAACAGCAATGCCATTGAGGTTAGGGAGAGGGGAAATTTGTTCAAACCAATTGCTCAATAGCAGTGTGCTGGAAACTCCCTCCCTTTACATCCTGCCACCCAGAAATCATTCACTACAAAGATATTTATCAGTAACATCAATATTGTCTTTGCATACCCCTTTGTTCTGTATTCATTGCTGTTGTTAATGAGCTTCACCACTGAACCTAACTGCAGCATTTTGCTACTGCTTGGTCTTATGCTTAATTGTTCTGGTGTTCTGTTGTCCCTTCTGTTTCACTCTGAATGTCTGGGATGATGTGATCCACCCTGTTGACTGGGAAGATACTTTACCATACCATCTACAAAGTTAGTGTTCAGCAAGCACTTGGATGATTATCTTGCTCTCTTAATTGGCTGTGTAAAACACCTATATGGCTCTCATGTTTTAGCTTGCTTAGTAATTTCTGGTTTTTTGTCAGTCAGCAAAAGCAATATAAGGACACAACACAGAATAATTACACTTTCTTCTGTGTGGAGACAGCAAATGCTAGCTTTACATGAGCAAGAATTTATAGGAAAACTCCTGCTGACTACAATAGAGACTATAATTTAGATGGGACCTCTCAGGTACCTGTTATAATAGTTAATGAAAATATCATTCTGTTTTTCTAAGAGCCATTCTTCAGCTTGTATTAGTAGAGACTTTTTTATTCTTATTTCTCTTTGGGTAATTCCACTAACAAGTTGCAAGTGAGTGTTTGCCAAGTACACCCAGAATTCTGGGAAAGGAAACATTTAGAACCATAAGTAACTGATGTGTTTGGAGTGGAAGCACCCAAACTTGGATGCTTGGAGTATGAGCCGCAGCAGGGTCCTGTTGCTATGTGGCAGTACAAGTCAACTTCTCCAGGCATGGCAGAGTATGATTATTCCCTCCATTTATAGCATCTAATTTAAATTTAACACAGATAAGATAGATATATTTTTCCCATAATTGATGTTATTTTGCTTTCTCATTGTCATATACTTTGTTTCAATTAGACATATTAAAATACAACATGTTATTATCATACTCTGATATATGGAGTAATATATTTTTGTTTATATTTAGGAATTCTAATTCTTTACCAGCAATGTCACCAATTCTTGTGCTCAGGGCCTCCATTTTTTTCTCTGCATTTAAATAAGTGTGTGTAGGAATCACAAGTAGTCTGCAAATATTTTTTTCCTCAAACTCAAAGTGCTGCTCTACCCGTATCAGACGGCAACTGGACAGGAACCTCACCTTTCACAAAATGGTGGCATGGATGATCGCCCTTCATACTGGTTGGTACTCAAATGTTTCTTTGGTTATTGCTTTCCTGTTCGTGTTACGTAGAATTCAAATGAGATCCAAGTTCTTAAGGATATAGGAAGAGAGCTGATTTTATTAACTTAAATGAGTCAGAGTGCATGAAGGCTTGGAACATTTTAAGTATTATTCTGCAACTGGTAGCAAAAGATGAATAAGAAAGGATGCTTTTCTCTTTCACAGCTAGTAACATTCATGACAAGGATTAATAAAAGGTATTTGACAATGCCTTTAGAACCAAATACTCTGACTAAAATTTCTGTTTAGGCTTATTTCTTAGCTGGCACATTTGAAACAAATAGAAGAAATTATGAAAGAATTAACACTCATCAGTGATCCGAAATTGCCATGGGAGTGGCACAGGTTCTAAGCTGCTGTTGAGAAATCCTACAAAGCTTACCCCAGAACAGGGAGCATTTACTCTGTACTTATCCCTAATTATTTCTTTTTTTTCTCTTTCCTAGCAATTCACATCATTGCACACTTATTCAATGTAGAGTGGAGCGTGCATGCACGTGTTGAAGAGGAAGGAACATTGGCAGCTGTGCTTTCTAGACTTGGTGATGGCCCAAATGAAAGCTATATCAACTTTTATAGACAAACTATTCCGGTAAGTGACATCCAGCTGTGAAGAATCATTATTACATTCATTTGGATGATTACCTAAGAGTATCTCAGAAGGCTGTCTGTTTCTGGAGTGCACAATCTGTCTTTGCACCATCTTGCAGGAAAGCCTTTTGTAATTCATTTTCCTGTAGTGATCAGTTATAGTGTTGCTGATTTTTGGTAATACCTTAGGCTTCTTCACGTGAGGATTTCAAAGTAGCTTTAAAACAGCATAGAAAAAAAATGCCCTATAAAAGAAGTTTTTTGAGTAAGGCAGGCATTCCCACAGAAGGGTCCACAGAAATTGAGAAAAACATTTGAAATCGGGTTCCCTAAACTCAGGATTAAAAAAACAAGAAAAAAAAAAGAAAAAGAAAAAAAAAACAGAAAAAGAAAACAGAAAAAGAAACCTCCCAGTTTCTCAGAAGCTCTGAGAATCTGACGTTCTTGTAAGCTGGGAGACCCACAACTGCCCAGCACCACTAAAAATAAGAGCTTTAGTTTAGCTCTAAATATGGACGTGGGACTTCAGCTTTAGCAAGAGAGCTATGCAAAAATGTTCATTTTTCCCACACACATGTTGCTGAGCAGGAGCAGAATAAGAAATAGTCTTTGGTGTGCAGATAGGTATGAAACCCTTTGTTTCTATTCTTACTTTCTCTAGTAGGAGCAGATCTGCAGTGCAACAAAATTGAAGTACGTTTTCAAAGCATTGTTGGCAAATTCACAGAGGATAATCTAAAGGTTTGCAACGGGGTGCAGGATCTGGCAAGTGAGATAGACTGATGGTTCAGCTGCCTCAGCTTTGATGCAACCCCTTTGACCAACGTGTGCAATTATTTCACAGAATCCTGTGGGGGGCTTATATGTGGCTTTCACATACTTGGCTGGTATCACCGGTGTTATCATCACTCTGGCCCTCATACTAATCATCACATCATCCGCCAAAATCATCCGAAGGTCATATTTTGAAGTATTTTGGTACACTCACCATCTTTTTGTCATCTTCTTTATTGGCCTTGTCATCCATGGTGCTGGGTGAGTATTTGCACTTAACCATACAATACATGATCACTACTTTGTTTTAGCTTCAAACTCTCCACTCATAGAAGCACATAGAGACTTAAGTCACTAAGGAGCAGTTATTTCTGCAGGTAATGATGTGCCAGTACAGGCTCTGAGGCCAACAGGCCCTCAGATACATACAGCAATTATTCACATGCATGAGACTATATGAGACTCGGGCATGCTTAAGCTCACCGATAATCAACTTCTTACAATATTTTAATTCAAAATATTTTTTTCAAAGTGCCTATTTCTAATTCTTAATTGATCTCTGAAACCTGAAAGGAGTTAGATCACACACGTGTTCTAGTGCCTGAGAGAAGAAATTTATCCTAATATGCAACCTGAACCTCCTCTGATGCAACTTAAGGCCATTACCTCTATTCCTATCTCTGTTAGCTAGGAGAAGAGGCTGCTCCCCATCTTGCCACAACTTCCTTTCAGGCAGTTATAGAGAGCAATAAGGTATCCCCTAAGCCTCCTCCAGACTAAACAATCCCAATTCTTTTAGCCATTCTTCATAAGACTTGCTCCAGATGCCTCATTATCTTTGTTCCCCTGCTCTGGACACACTCCAGGGCCTTGATGCCTTTCTTATAGTTAGGAGCCCAAAAACTGAACACAGTAGTCAAGGTGTAGCCTTACCACAGCTGAGTACAGGGGCATGCTCACTTCCGTGCTCCTGCTGACTGCACTGTTTCTGATACAAGCCAGGATGCATTTTGCCTTCTTGGCCACCTGGGCACACCAATGGCTCACGTTCAGCTGAATGTTGACCAACACCCCCATGTCCATTTCTTCCACATAGTCTTCCAGCCACTCTGCCCCAAGCATGTAATGTTGTTTGGGGTTGTTGTGGCCAAAATGCAGGACAAGGCCCTTGGTCTTGGTGAACTTCATCCGTTGGCCTCAGCACATCAATCCAGCCTGTCCAGATCCCTCTGAAGGGCCTTCCTACTCTCAGGCAGATCAACATTTCCCTCCACCTTGTTCTCTTCTGCAAACTTAGTGAAGATGTACCCAATTGCCTCATCAGTAAAGATACTGAACAAGACAGGCCCCAATACTGACCTCTGGGGATCACCACTCATGACTGGCCACAAGCTGGATTTGACTCCATTCACCACCGCTCTCTGGGCACAGCCATCCAGCCAGTTCTTTACCCAGCAAAGAGTGTACCTGTCCAAGCCACGGGCTGACAGCTTCCCCAGGAGGATACTGTGGGAGACAGAATCCAAGGCTTTGCTGAAGCCTAGGTAGACCACATCAACAGCCTTTGCCTCATCCACCAGAAGATCATCCAGTCATAGAAGGTGATCAAGTTGGTCGAGCAGGACCTGCTTTTTGTGAATCTGTGCTGACTGGGCCTGATCCCCTGGTTGTCCCACACTTACTGTGTGATCTCATTCAAGATGATCTGTTCCATCTCCTTCCCTGACATTGAAGTCAGGCTGAAAGGCCTGTAGTTCCCCAGATTCTTCTTATGATCTTTCATGTAGATGAGAGTCACATTGGCAAGCCTCCTGTCCTCTGGGGCCTCTCTGGTTGACCAGGAGTGCTGATGGATGGTAGAAAGCAGCTTGACAATCACCTCCCTCAGGTCCCTCAGCACCCTCGAGTAGATCCCATCCAGCCCTATGGATTTGTGGCAGTCTAGGTTGAGTTAAAGGTCTCTAACTGTCTGCACCTGAATTATGTGGAGTTTATTCTGCTCCCTATCCCAAATTTCCAAGTCTGGAGGTAAAATAACCCAAGGATCGCTGGTCTGACTGTTAAAGACAGATGTAAAGAAGGCATTGAGAACATCAGCCTTCTCCTTATCCTCAGAGGTCATGTTTCAGTAAAAGATGGATATTCTCTTTAGTCCTCCTCTTATTGTTAATATATTTGTAAAAAAAAGTTCTTGATTCTCTTTCGCTACAATGGTCAGGGTCAGTGCAAGCTGGGCTTCTATCTAATTTTTTTCCTGCATATCCTAGCAAATTCTTTGTACTCTTCCAGAGTTGTCCATCCCTTCTTCCACAGCAGGTAAACTCTTTTTCCTCCTGGGGCCTCTGAGAAAGCTCCCTGGTCATCCACACTGGTCTTCTTCCCTGCTGACTCATCTGACAGCACAGGGGGACAGCCTGCTCCTGTGGCTCTAAGAATTACATGTTGAGGAGCGACCAGCCTTCCTAGACACCTTTCCCCTTTAGGATGAATCCCAAGGGACCCTCCCTTCCATTCTCCTTAACAGTTCAAAGTCTGTCCTCTGAAAGTCCAAGGTTTTTGCTGGCCCTCCTGCTGACATCACCAAGAATTGAGAATTCTACCTTTTAGTGGTGACTCTGTCCAAGATAGATAGCTCCTGACCTCCGCATCTCCCACCAGTCCTTCTCTGTGAACAGCAGGTCTAGCAGGACTCCTTCCCTGGTAGGCTCTCTTACCAGCTGCGTCACAAGTTGTCTTTCACACACTCCAGAAACCTCCTAAACTGCTTCCTCTATGCTGTATTATATTTCCAGCATATATCAAAGAAGTTGAAGTCCCCATGAGAACAAGGGCTACAAATCGTGTAACTTCTGCCAGCTGCTTGTGGGATGCCTCATCCATCTCTTCATCTTGGTTAGGCTGCCTGTAACAAACCCCCATCAGGACGTCAGTCCTGTTGGCCTTCCAAAATGAAACTTCAGTTTCATTTTATGAAACTACAGAACTGATGCATGAAAAGAATCCTTAAGTATCCAAGGCACGTTTCATAGTTTATAGATATACTGTGTTCTCCATTTAAAATTAAATTCTAGGTCTTAAAATTAGTTGAGGATTCAGAGCACTGGAAAGTGTATTAAAAGTGCCCAATAACAATGACTATTCAACAACACTTCCTCTTAGTCCAGTAGCACCAGTAAAAAAAAAAAAAAAGAAATGAGACTACAGCAGGAAGAACAGAAATAGAAGGGAAATGAGAATCACCAGCAGCATGTTTGTCCATTTTGACTTCTGAAACAAGAAGAATGTTAGAGCAAAAATTGAAGGAGAGTAAATGGCATTTGTTTCCTTTGGAATTATCATGTAACTACTGACAGAATGTCTAAACTTTTCAGCAGTTACTACACGATGCTATTAGAAAGCAAACATTGCTTTTTCTAACAGTAGTATACATTTCATAAAAGTGGAGTTTTTGTTCTTTCAATGGTGGCTATACTTTCTCCATTTTAATACAGTGCTGAAAAGTTTAGGCAGAGTGGGGATCCATGTGGTTGTCAGGCACTGCTTTGGGAGCAGATGAATACGGAAGTATGATCTGACACTCTCAACGTGTTTGAAAGGCACATAGATGTCATTTTATCTCAAGAGACAGAAGGTTGTGTCAAACATATATGAATACATATGAATATGTAGAAAACTGAAGAATACATAGTTAATGGAATGAAGAGGGCAGATTCTTGTCTGATGCTGTTATAGTACTTTTTAGTGCTGATGTTATTTGTCTATTAGTTACACATCACAGATAGAAATCCTGACCTTCCCATCAATAGTAAATGTAAGGAGGAAGGAATACAGAGATTCAGATCACTCTGCTTGGCAAACTAAAGTAAAATTTTTAACAGAAAAAGAAGAAATTAGAAGGCTGTATTGCTGAAGGCTTAATTGCAATCTTGGAAGGTCACCTACAGCGTGTAGTAAGTGAAAATAAGTCTTTTCCTTTCCTTATACAGGCTGCTGGCTTGTCAAACTTTGAATGGAGTGTAGGGCAGGGTGAAAACCACTAGCCCTTAAGCAACAGGCTCAGGAGTGGCAGAAAACAGGCAGAAAATGGGCTCCTCCCATTCCTGTAAATCACTCCAAGGTCAGCTCAGATGAAGCCCTTGTCACTGTTGGGGAAGTGAATTGCAGCCGACGTTGTTTCTGAAAATTGCAACTCATGATGCTCCTGGGACAGTGATATTTCTTCCCTTTATTTTTTAGGCAGGACATTAGTCAAACCCTTAATGAGGAAGAGGTTCATTAGTAATATCTATAAGCAGTGAAATCTTTAACTTTCAAGATTGCACACAGGCATTCTAATAATCCTCTGATACATTTGTCACTTAAACCTAGGCGTACATGTGACTTAGATACCTAATTTCTTTGAAATGTTAGAAACACAGCCAAGTTCAAGGAAATTGAGCTTGAAAAGCAGAAAGGGAAGTCATGGGAAGAAAATATCAACAGAGTTATATTGGCATAAAACCAAACAGTCTGATCAGAATCAGAACATTTCTATGGAAAGTCATTAGATCTTAACCTACTAATTACCGTCATATGAGGGGCTCAGATGTGGTCCTGAGGATGGTAGAACTTCACACAGGTGCAGGAAATAGTGAACACGATCAAAATATACTTTTACTTCTCAAAACTGAATTCTTTTTCCAGCATCAGTTCTGCCAAACTGGAGCAATCAGGCTTCTCTATAATAAAATAAATGAACAAAACAAAACAAGCAAAGCTCACGTTAGAATGTTGAGTCTAGATTATCAACTAACATCAGCTTGCTTAGCCAACATAGCTACTTTGAGCTAGAGGAACCTGTTTCCATCACACCAACTAAAAATCTACTCTGCAGTTGTAAAGAGAGAGAAATTACCAAAGAAATAGTGTTCTTCGGAAAAGGCTGTCCCTGATTTTTAAGAAAAATAACAGGAATAATTGCTGCAGTGATCAATAGGAAACTTTATTATTGATTATTGAGCCCACTCCATGTTTCATTTTTCCTATTGAAGGAAAAAGTAGGGGTTTTTTTGAAAAGAATTGAGTTTTCCTTGTGTTAATTACACTCTGGAAGCGATAAGAAATTTATCTCACAGTTCCTCACCTGATCTCGTAGTCGGTATTTCCCCCTACAGTGTTTTGGATAGATCACAGCCATACAGAGGAATCAAAAGGTGCAGTAGCACTGCAGGAGTCTGTAACTATGCAGAAAAAGAATACACAGAATAACAGTAAGTGACAGATATTCCTTAATTCCCATCTTACTCCCTTTATGTTCTGCATTTTTTCAGGCGCATTGTGCGGGGACAGACAGCTGTGAGTCTGGCTGAACATATTCCAGAGATGTGCTCTAAGAATTTCACTGACTGGGGAAAGAAAGGAGCTTGCCCTGTCCCCCAGTTTGCAGGGAATCCTCCTATGGTAAGAAAAAATCCAGTACAAAAAAACGACTGTTTACTCTTTTTGTTAAATAGTGTATAAACCTGCTGCACAAAGTAGTTTTCTTTACATTAAGCAAGATTTCCACATAGTTGATTACAACCCAAAATGGACTACAGACAGTTCACTTCCAGTGCCTCGTAACAACAGCACAACTAACAGGCAAAACAGATGAATAAATCTGAGAACTGTTTACCAAAGTGTATTTCATATCACGGGGGTTCCAAAAAGTGCTATAATCTACGTAATAGTTTCACATTATTAATAGCCTGATGATCATTAACAGAAAATTAATGTCCAGACTCAGGCGGAGACAAAATCATTCATAGGAAATTACCATTTCATACCTACAGTAACAACTAAAAATGCAAATACAATTCTCAACAAGGAAAGAAATTCCCCCTCTGAACAGAACTCAGTGTGAAGGTGTCATGTATTTTAACTGTTCCTTACTCTGGTTGATAAATAACATGTAACTTGAATTTAACATCTGTTTGTAGTGTATCCGGAATTCAGTGTAATCTCGGTTGCCATCTTTGTAATTTAACTTCCCATTTTATTCTGTTAACAGACATGGAAATGGGTAGTAGGTCCCATGTTTTTGTACCTCTGTGAGAGGCTGGTACGGTTTTGGAGATCACAGCAGAAGGTTGTTATCACAAAGGTATGTGTTGTTGCTGTGCTTAACTCTGGGCTAAACACTAGCAGTTTTTCTAGATGGTGCAGCAAAACCAGGGTTCCTACATGTCATACAGTGTTTTCAAATAAAGACGTCTCAAGAAAGTCATGATGTCTAACAGGCAAAAAAAGTACTACTCTCCAACATCCAAGTGTAGTTGTTTCTAAGCCTGTCTCCAAAAGAGTGCAGGAAGGAGAAGTTAGCTAAGTACAATACTGAATTGTGGAGAAGATAAATTAATTTTCTACGTGTCTGCATAAATTGTAGCAATGTAAATATTCCACATTTCCTGGCACAGAGTCACAGAATTGTCAGGGTTGCAAGGGACCTCCAGAGATCATGTAGCCCACCAGCCCTGCCAAAGCAGGTTTCTTAAAGTAGGTTGCAAAGGAAAGCATTCAGGTGGTTTTTTGATATTTCCAGACTCCGCAGCCTCTCTGGGCAGTCATGTCACAGGGCACCACCAAAAAGAGCCTGGCCCTATCTTCTTGACACCCACCCTTTAGATATTTGTAAGCACTGGTAAGATCCCCTCTCAGTCTCCCCTTCTCCAGCCTGAATAGTCCCCACTCTGAACTGTCCCTTTTGGAGTGACCACAAGAATGGTGCAATAAAGTACTTTAGCCAAAAATTTAGCATCTTCTGCAGTCTTTCACCTGGCTGTCAGGCACTGCTCCTTACTCCCCATTCTGCTGGGAACATTTCATCTGCTTTTCCTGCTCTTGTAGGAGAGGGCAATGCTAGCGATGAAAAATGTAGACAAAACCAGTGAACAGGGAAGATACCCTTTTACTTCTGCCTTTTTTTCCCCTTGTCCCTCTTACTGTAGGTGGTGATTCATCCCTTCAAGACAATTGAGCTCCAGATGATGAAGAAGGGTTTCAAGATGGAGGTCGGGCAATACATTTTTGTCAAATGTCCAGCAGTGTCTAAACTGGAATGGCATCCATTCACATTAACCTCTGCCCCAGAAGAGGATTACTTCAGCATTCATGTCCGTATTGTAGGAGACTGGACAGAGGGCTTGTTCAATGCCTGTGGATGTGATAAGCAGGAATTCCAGGAGGCATGGAAGTTGCCCAAGTATGTACGGAGTCAAGCATTGTAAAGTCAACCAAAATCTAGGGCAGCTGAAATTTTGTTCAACCTGGTGGTGGCATCTGTGATACAATCCTTAACAACTTCTGTCATGGATGTTGGTCTTAAACTGCTCATGTCGGTTCCCTCCTCTACCAATTCCACCTTTTCTTTTACTTTCTGGTGCAACAGGCAAATATTTTACCTTTCTGTTGTTGTTTTAAATGATGCTAATAAATATCCACTATTTCTTCAATGTACTTTTGATTTCAGGATAGCTGTAGATGGCCCCTTTGGAACCGCTAGTGAGGATGTGTTCAGTTATGAAACTGTTATGCTGGTTGGAGCCGGGATAGGGGTAACGCCATTCGCATCTGTGCTCAAGTCTGTCTGGTACAAATACTGCCACGATGCAACCAACCTAAAACTTAAGAAGGTACGTGCCATCTTTGTCACAGAGATTTCCCAGAACCCATTTAGTTGTTGGAGGACCAATGGTCAAAATCAAAACAGTCCCAGAAAAGTGATCATGGAAGCTGGAGGATCAAAACTGCAAAAATAGAAGAGAAAGACGGAAGGAAATACCCTAGGAGCTAAATTCAACACCCAAAGCCTGGCTGTTGTCCTGGGGATTTCCACCTGTGTTGGAAGTGCCATTCAAGCTATGCAAGACAAACAAGACATGCCATTAATTCACAGGCACTAACTGCAGCTCGTGCAAACACTGCATACCTTCCCTAAGAACAGAGAGAGTAACTGTGAGTCAGTGGTAGCACAATGCTACCATCCTCCTCTCACCTCCCTGGAAAGCCCCTGTGCAGAGGTGTGGGGTCACACTGCAGTTACATTTGTATTCAGTGGACAGAACTGGTTTTGCTATTTGCTTTAATTTACCTTCCCTGCTAGCAGATAGGAGATAGAATCTACCAAAGTCATTATTTTATGTGCTAACAAACTGTTTCACAGGGATAAAACTGGTGAAAACATCCCCAACTACAAATGTGAACCACCAGCAGAAGATATTTCCTTGTTCTGCTTCACAACCTTCTCACCTTCTCAATCCAAACTCCTAATAGCTTCAGCACCAGCTTACCCATTTACTGAATTAGTCAGAGCAATATCTTCAAGAACTGCGCAGTCCTTCTTTAGTCAGCAAACAGAAACCCAGAAACCTAAGTACCTATGTCCCCTGACAGTTCTCGCTTCTCTCTTCCAGATCTATTTTTACTGGCTTTGCAGGGACACTCATGCCTTTGAATGGTTTGCTGACCTCTTGCAGTCTCTGGAGACTCAAATGCAGGAGAGGAATAATGCAGAGTTTCTCAGCTATAACATCTACCTTACTGGCTGGGATGAAACTCAGGTAACAACACTATGGAAAATAATCACCTTCTTGTGTCCCCAGACTGATGTTAGCAAGTGTGTTATGTTTTGATAAATGTTCATATGGTCATTATTCTGGATGTCCACATGGCTCTCTGGGGTTTTAAGTGCAGATAATTATTACTCACTAGAACTTACATGAGATTAGCTGCTGATGTGCACTGACTTTCTCTTTTTTTTCACTCTGGCTGTGCACGCTGGGAAGTAGTATTTCCTCACAGCATCAACCTCAGCTCACCCTGCAGGCGTATCTAAGACAGTTGTTACTGCTTACAGAAAATGCCATTTTGGGGAAGCTAATGCAAAAAGTTTGAGTGATGGCAGCATATTTGTTTCAGAACATTCATGAGTTCTCTATCTGATCCCATGATTATGGGTTGGAGAAGAGTGATGAAGGAACAGCTCTTCCATGACTCAGTAGAGAATGTGATTCAGTAAGGAAAGGTGCTCACTCTGGTACTGTTAGTGGTGCTTTATGTCACTTATATCTCGCCTTTGAAAAATTCACTGTGTGTCTAAGCGCTGTAGCTTAACTACAGGGATAGAGTAGCAGTAAGGTAGGAGGTTACCTCACACATACAGTGAAAAAAACATGAAGGAAAGAACAAAAGTCATGCAGTTCTTGCTTTTGGAGAAAGTTCTATGTTTTTTGGCTTCAGAACTCAGCAAGGGCTCAACCTTAGCCCTAAAACTGTCTTCTATTTCCTCCTAGATGATCCTAAGTGAAATTTACATAGAGAGAGTAGACAAAACATCCTCATATGGATCAGGCCTTCTAGAGATCAAACTGGCAGAACTTCATTAAGGTCATAGGAGTTGTATTACTGTAAGGGAAGGGAAAGAGTTGTTTTAATTTGCAGCTTTATTTTACAGTTCTTACAGGACTAAAACAGTTCATTGAAAAAGGAACATAATTGTTATGTGTTCAAAGTGTTCAGTTCTTGAGATAACCCAGACTGGGGGTAAGAGAGAGATGGACACTGCTGGTCAGGACTTGTTTTCCTTTTTAAATACCATAAATTCTACAGGAATGTTTTCAGAATGCAAATAATTTGATGCATATTGTCATGACACTATCCTTTGTCTTTCATTTTTCACAGGCCACTCATTTTGTAATGCATCATGAAGAGGAGAAGGATGTGATTACAGGCCTTAAACAGAAAACATTGTATGGAAGACCTAACTGGGAAAATGAGTTCAAAACCATTGCGAGGCAGCATCCGGGGTAATCTTGTACAATTGAAAGTGTCTGTGAATGTCCTCTATTTAACTGCCATAACAGCACAATCTTGTTCCTTTGACTGATAATGTTGATGATATTTTAATAACAGTCTTCAGGTATTTTCTATCTCATTTCAGCCATGGTCTTGACATAGGGTTTCATCCCATCGGGTCTTGACCAATTAACCTTTAACCTACACTTTAAAAAAAAGATCATCCATATGTGGACACTTGAGACACTTGATGCAGTGTCTAATTACTAGCAGATGTTTTAGGAAAAATGTATCCCATCTTTCAAGTTGAAGTAGGTAGGAATGCGACTCAACTTCTAAACACTTCTAAAAATAACACCTTCTACCTCAAAAAAAAAAACAAAACAAAACAAAAGAAAAAACAACACCTGGGTACAGATGACCTTTAGCTGAGCATCTGAACTTAGCAGGAAAAAAAGCCTGATTAGTTCCTTTCAAAACTTTTTGCTATAAATTCTTTGAGGCTTTACTTCACTGATTCCAGTGAGGTCAATAAAATTGTCTTCGCTGACTTCTGCTGAGCTGAGATTTAACTCACCACCTGGTTTAGAAGTGGCAGTAAATGTCTCGCAAGTTTGAAGGGGTGATAAGTTTTAAAGGACAGACATGCTGTTCTGCTTTAGTTTCTGTAGGCGAGAAAAAATACTTGCTGCTAGAGAACATAAGATTGATTTACATGAACATCCAGCTACTCTATGTCTAGTTCCTGACCATGTTTCTATTTTCTTAACAGTTCCAGAATAGGTGTTTTTCTCTGTGGACCTGAGGGCCTCGCTGACACGCTCAGCAAGCAGAGCATCAGCAACTCAGAAGCTGACCCACGAGGAGTACACTTCATTTTTAACAAGGAAAACTTCTAACTCCCAGACACGTGGCAGTCATTCAGTACAAAGTCTGAACACTGATCTCTTTCTGTTTGGAGTCTGGGAAGGACAGCCCAGCTTCTAACTCAGCTACACTAACACATATCCCATTGCTTCTTTGGAGTTATTTTGATGCTGTGGTAGAGTAAGAATCAAGTTTCACCTTAGGAAAGTTTGCACTGCCCCCCACATGCTGGCAATTTAGCCGAAATTTGTCTTCATGAGGGGATTTCCTCTCAAATAACTGCCTTTATCCTCCTGTTATTCATAATGACTGCTGAAGGTTGTAGGCAGCCATATGCATTTGGGATCCAATTCACATTGATAAAGCTTAATGCTATTAAACAAGAAAGCATTCTGGTGTAATGCTTGCTACTTATAGACAGCTTACGCTGGCTATTGAGAGTACTTTGAAATAAGAATTTAGGAAAGGGTGAAGGGGAAAGATTTCTCCTTAAAACAGGAAATCTGCTTTGAACACAAGCAACTCTCCAAAGACAAGCCTAACCACCCTGTCGAGGAGGTAGTGAGAGCAGCTGAAAAGCAGCCAGTTCTCTTTAGGAAAGCAGAGTACTGAAAAGGAGCCACCTGGATGTCAGAGCACCACTGCCAACATGCCACAGCTGCAGTCAAGTTTGCAGACAAGTTTGTGCAGCTATCTGGTTGTATGCGGCATATTTTACACCTCCATCTTGCACTATGCGCTACCTCAGAAGGACAGATTACCATTTGGTTATATATGAATAGGAAACTGCCGTATGACACATCTGAAAGGCAGGAAGTCACAGCTGGTAAACGCTAGTACAGATCAACCCTTGGGGAAATTTTCAGTTCTTTCCCTCAAAGGGGCCATGTTTGAATCTACATAATTCTGTTTGCAACCCACTTATTAAATGAGAACAGAGCTTAAGCGGAATTAAAGAAGCTTCTTTGTTGGAATAAAATGAATTGCTACTGAAATGATAAGGATCTCATGCTGCACAGGGAGCACTGAAATATTTGGCTTTGATTTTAATGAAAATATCATCAGAATTCTTACGACTCTGGGGATCTTTCTTTTTGTAGCCAGTTCTAATGACACTCCCAGACCTGCTGCATGCATATACCAGGGATCGTTTGTCCCTTCAAACTCAGAAAGAGGAATCCTGTGCTTATTATTAAACCACTGCCTTCCCAAAGCATACAAAAGAGCAAGCAGATGAAAGCTTCTCAGTTTCCTTCTAAGTTTTGTTTTAGTAAATGCTGCAAAAGTATAAGACATGCATTATCAGTCATCATCTGAATATGAAGTTTATTTTAAATTCATGATATGTGAGTGAAATTGCACTGAAATACAAACATCAGGAAAAAAATAGTTTGAAACCTCCCTACTGTTCAGCAAGGCATGCAATAATGGTACTGTTTTAAACCAATGCTGCTGTCTACCAGGGTGCTTAAAGGAGTAAAGCCCTCCTTCTAAAGGCTTGCCTGATCTATAAAAGTTCCCCTCATCTGTGGTATTACTGATGGGCTACAAGAAACCAACCAACCATTTCTTACATGGTGATGGCTGTGACAACACTACTGCTTCCCACACAGGACATACAGAGCTCTTCACTCATCCTGAGGAGAGAGCTAGTGCTACAGCAGGCTACTGCTGAGCCCACAGGATAGTCCAGTTTTATGGCCAGGTAACACTGCTTGGAATCTGACCACTGCTGTAGGCTGGGTTTCTTCTTGAAAATTTCCTCTTTCTGGGTGTCTGGGGTTTTCCTGTCATAGGGGCAGCAGCAGGGGTAGTTTTTGCAATCAACAGATTTCTTTCGCTGTCAAATTCCTGGCTCCGAAGAGCTTGCTCTGAAAACAGAAAGTGGTTTTTTGCCTTTAGGAAATGTGGTGTTTAGCAGTTTAAGCAATGTTACAAGGTGCATGACCTTGATGCAAGAAGCAGCAGCAAGATTCTCTGAAAGGCAGGGGCATCCCAAGGTTGCTCCTGTGGACAGCTGGGGGAGGCAGTGCAAGGGAGGAGGGACGGCTGCCATAGGCAGAAGTCAGGACTTGACAGAACCCTCTCTCATTGATGAGGGTCTATTGCCACTCCAAAACTCTTCCCACACCTGTATCACATCACTGACTTGCTGGGTGCCACAGTAAATGAGTCACTGGAATTGCTTAGGCAGAGCTCTGACACTGCCCATGCTTGTGGGGGGCTTTGAAAACCCTCAGAATCATCCTCATTTCTAGTGGGGTCTGAACATTAGGTGTGGCTACCTCACTAAGGCTGCCCTATAGTATCCTCCAGTCTTATCTCTGCTTCTTCTGTAGGGGTAACTGTAAAAGAAATGACACCTCTTATCCCTCCAGACACAATCAGCAGTGATAGGAGCATAGGACTTGTGATTTGCAGTATTGAATTCAAGTTGCACCTAAGTTTATGAAGAAGATTGAAGCCCGATCTGTCCTTTCATCCAGCTACAAAAATTCCCTACTCAAATGAAAAAAGCTCTGCTGATGGCAAGAAGAGCCAGTTGGTATTGAATTAGAACACCAACTTTATCTAATGGAAAGCTTTATCTAAGGGAAAAAATTAGCAGTTCAATTCAAACAGATGAAGAGAGAAATTGATCTCACTTGTGGCTCCCAGTCAGCATTTTTTTACTTTCCTTCTTATGTAATATTTTGTCTGTCTTCCCAAAGGCAGCCATCTGAAAAAAAAAGAATTTGATTAATCAATAACCTTAAATATAGTTAAGGAACCTGATCCTCTGGAGTGCTGATCAGCTCCTGTTTCCCATCTTAATTTTGGAAACTGGAAAGGGTTCTGGAGGATGCAAGGCACCTGGTCATCTCTGGCTAACATGTGAAATCTCAGCATGCACTGAGTTTCATCTTCTTCCTTCCTTCCCTGGTAAATACTTGCAAAGCTGCCCACATGCAAAGCAAGTCCAAGTTTTCATAAATTTTAACCTATCATAAAGACACTGTTCTGCCTGTTCACCATCACACATCTCCCAGGGGGAAACCAGGCTAGTTGTGAAATAGAGCTTCCTCTTTTCTGTACGAGTTTCTCTGCTGGGTGGAGACTTTCTGCATTTCAGTCCTTAAGTGAGGGGATAAATCAAATTAGAAAACCAAAAAGTTGACTATCAAACACTTCTGCAGGTTCATTCTCTATTTTGGAATATTCTTAACAAATTTGTTTTGACTATTCTTATTTTTCCATCCTTCAGTGGGTTTGTGTTTGTTAGTAGCAAATATTAAGATATTAATGGTTCTAAGAGTTTGCAGCATCAAATGCTCACATCTGACTGAATACAACAGCAACAGTTGCACAGATGCAAGCCAGTGTAGTTATTTGTCATGAAGCACACATTTGTTTTGGCATTTGATAGAGACCCTAGCAAGCCACTGTTCTCATTTACATTCACCACACAGAAGCCAGATCAGACAAACAGAAATTAATAGCAGCAGAGTAGAAATGCATTGTAAGAATTGCAGAAAGCTTACAAACGCCTTCCAGCTGTGCACCAGATCTGCAATTCTGCTAGGTCCATCCCTCCCTTTCCACTTGTGCTCTTTTGCCTGGACACTGCATGGGTCTCTCTCTGCTTGCTCAACTACCACGGATTTCTCTCCATTCATTCTCTCCTACCAACTGCTGCTTCACTCACTCTCTTCATCTTGTTCCTCAACTCTGCAAGTCTCTGGAGAATCTCCAGTTCTCACAATGGTTTTGCAAATGTTTAGGCCCACTGCAGGTGCAGGGAAAGGCACGGGGAGCCTTACTCCAAACTCCAAGCAGTGCAGCACGTCTCACAGGACATGATTCAGCTGCAACCTCCCCTGTCACTACAAATGAACCAGGGCTGTAGGCAGCTCTGCATTGCCCAGACAGACTGTTTTGTTTCCCTCCAGTAATATTTTGTCTCCACGTTTAACTACTGTGTTTGGTTTTTTTGTTGTTGTTTTTTTAATTGTTATTACTTTAAATTCTACATAGAAGATTTATGAGCTCCTATGTTTTTAAAAAACACATGGAAGTCATCTGGTGCCATTGTGGTTTAACCTGGCTGGAAGCTCAGCACCGTACAGCTCACTCTCCCTCAATGAGATAAGGGAGGGAATTGGAAAATAAGTAAAACCTGTTGTTTGAGATAAAGGTAGTTTAATGAGACAGAAAAGAAAGAGAAAATAATAATGATAATCATAAAAGAATACACAAATCAATGATACACATTGCAGTTGCTCACCACTCACTGATATTCAGCCAGTCCCTGAACAGCCCCCCAGTTTTGTAGTTCAGCACAACACCACCTGGTCCAGGACATCCCTTTGGGCAGGCTGGGTCAGCTGTCCTGCCTGCATTCCCGCCTGGCTCCTTACATATCCCAGCTCCTTGCTGGCAGGGCAGCACCAGAAGCTCAAACATCCCTGGCTCTGTGTAAGCACTGCTCAGCAACTACTTATATATCGCTGTGCTATCGATGTTCAGAAGAGCAGAGCAGAAGTCTGGTTTCATGTAACAGCCTTTCCACTTCTCCAAACGGAAGAGATTTCTACCTCACAGTCCCAAAGAGACAAAGCGTAAGTAAATACCACTGCAGGTCAGCCTAGGGCTGGGTAAGCTCCCATGAGCAGCTAGAGAAGACGGTTGCTGCTGTGGTTTTACCACCCTCTTGCCCTTTTTCTCATACTTCCCTTTCATCTATGGTAACTGACAGTGGGTCAAGTCTGTTTTCAGGTGGCAAATTCACACAAGCTCTCTGAGATCTGAACTTTTCTTAAATAGCAGCAAGGATATAATCAGAAAAGATTGCCAAACAACAAGGAAACACCTTCTAGAGTAACCTCCCTCAGAAGACAGATAAAGAGCCCTGTAGGTGATAAGCTGCTTCCTCCTGCTCCAAAACAGTGAAAGTTCCTCTCAGCTGTGAAAAGTCCACTGTACCAGTGCTGCAAATGGCTGAATAAACATGTGGATCCTCTTCCATCACTGTTATCTGTCTCACATGTGCACAAATCGATGCACTCAGCAGCAGACTCAATTCTACAAACCAAAATAAATAATAAAAAAGGTGTGTAAAAAGCAGCAACAAAGGCAGCAACCAAATAGTATTTATAGAGTAGTAACTAATGCTCAGTTACCCACTACAGCTTTGCTTTCAGTTTACAGAAAACCTCCAAAGACCACAGTTTTTGCCACCAGTATTGCTGCAGCTGTGAGTCCTTTCACTGCTATTTCATACCCTGAGACCAGCAAAACCCACGTTGTAAATATAGCCAGGGAACCTTGCCTAAGGTTACTCACTGTTGTTTACAAATGTCCCAATGCCTTTATTTGAATTAATCTGTCCAACGCTCAACTGGTACCAAACTAGAAGCCATCATAATTAATGAAGTTACCAGCTGGGGATGTCAGTCACATCACTCACTGCCTGAGGCTTTCCAGCAGCCCTGCAGTATGTGGTGAACATTTCTCCAAGCAGCAGCTCTGAACATCAGCTCTGCTCTACAATAACAACAGTGATATGAGCATCGATCTGAGTTTTTCATAAGAAGGCCAATATATCAGTGTATTTACAGGACTTCGCCAGAGCCCTTTTCTGATATGTCACAAAAAGACAATATCCTATTTGAGAGCTTTATGTACTGATTCTGTAGGAGCCTGTATGCTCTAAACCACTCCAGAGTGATATTGGTTATGGTTATCAGGATATGGGTTACCAATGATGGAGATACATTCCCTGTAGCTACGTCTGAGGAGAGGATCTTAACCCTGGAGGAGGCTGGGATCAGCGGTAATCAAGGCAGACAATGACAGTGTCATATGAATGTTCACTTGTGAAGCTGGATGGGGAAAACAGCAACACCAAGCTATTAGGCTGGAAAAAAAAAAAAAAAAAGCTGCATTTCCCAGAGGGCAATACAGGCAGTTTACTATTAGGAAAATCCATCAGCTATACTTATATTTATTTAAGCAACAGAAACTAGCCCCAAATCCAGGAAAATTATGAAAATTCTTCAAGTCATTTGCAGAGATCAAGCTGTAACCC